AGCACTGGAAAAATTCAGATTTCAATTGCCAGGATTTCACAGGGGGCATACTGAAACACACACATGGAATGTCTTAACTCTGTTGGAAGAACTGTGTCTTCTTAAAGAGCCACAACAGAGCTGTTCTTAGAAGTTTTTTCTCCTGAAGAACAGAAGGAATTTTAAATTGCAGCAATAGACTTGAGGCAAAAAAGCTGGGTAAGGTGTTGGAAAAACACCTCTGGGGAGATCTCAAATTACTATGTCGCTATGATTGTGCATTCTGTTACCTGCCCTTGCAGACAAATGTATAGCATATATACACACACCCATCCAGGGTGCAGTTTGTAAGTAAAAACGTTAAGCATAAACACTTCTGTGCATCTGACACAAAGCTAATCCATGCAACTGTTCTAAACACAAAATACACAAAGATTTAAAAATTAATGAAATATGAATCTCCGTGTCTGGTAAAGACATAGAGGGTCTGGAATTCTAGCACTGATAGGACTGCTAAATTCAAGGTAACGCTTACCTATGAAAGTTTGCCAGGGTGCATGAAAAGTGACTTCTCAATCCACACTCTCTGTGGTTTCCAGACATAAAAGAGCCCATACCACCAGAGAAATAACAAGCCTGCTGACAGTTCTCCCTGTAGGGATTGCATGTTCACACTACCTGCAGAGTGGAAACAGGCTCAGTGTGAGCTGCTTTGCAGCTGATGCCCCATGCTGTGTGTCAAGAGAACACATCCAGCCTACACATCAGGAAACTCCTCTACAAGTTTTAATACAATTTATGTTAGAAGCATCGACAGAAACCTTTCAGGACTCAAAAGTTTCCTATGCCATGGCTTTACTGGCAACATGCTGAGAGTCAAGGTCCTGTGTGCTGACTGTACTCTGCAAGTAAATAGGTTAGTCCCTACACAAACCATGAAAATCAGGTTGGCAGTACTTAGTGGCCCGACAGTCACCCACCTCTAACCCATGGCAAAATCCCAAACTTGTGCTGCAAGAACTGACAATATAATTGAACGTCTCAACATAACAGCTTAGATTGGATGGGTGATGTAGTGTCAAACTCTACCACCCTGGCCAAACACGAGAAGTCTGGTATGTAGCAGCAGGCATGGTAAGAGGGGGTCACAGTAGCTGTTACTCTGAAATAACAACATAATAAATAATTACTGGAGCCAGGACTGCACAGAGTTTGCATCAGACGGGGAGGAACTGCCTCTGCAAGAGTATGACAGTTCTGCAGAATGCAGATGAAGAATACAGTCCAGAGGGACACATACGCTGAGCACACTCACCTCTTGCTTATTCAGTTCTGGGCCAAAAGGACCAGCTATTGTTTTGCACTCAGGAGGACAAAGTGCACACTGATTAAAACTTTCTTTTAAAGACTTTGCACTGATCAGCTTCTATGACTGTAAAAATGCTACTTGTTACAAGCGACACAAAATTGCTCTTTGTTGATCTGCGTATCACATTGTCTCTTAAAAGAAGATAAACTACACTGTAGCACTATGATAAATGCTATTCCAAAAATAAAGTTTATATATCCTAGGAAACTTCTCTAAATGTCCAAATTACTGTTTTCCATTAAATACTTTATACACCCTGCCACACATAATTTAGAACCAAGCAATATGTGGTTTACAAGACATTTATCCCCCAAGATATTTATCCCCCAAGCTGAGCTCCCCTACAGCTTCATGCATTGTTTGGAAGAGAGCACTGAGGAGAGAAGTGGGACTTTGACCTGGAGTTTTTTAAAATAGCAAGAACAGAAAGAAGCTCTCATCTCTGGTCACGGCTTGGAATCACACCCCAAGCAGTGGTATCCTGAAGCCAAATTCAGACTAGAAGCTTCCTCTGAAAAGCAAAGTGATTATTCCTGCTTGCTCTAAGATCAGCACTGGTACCACAGGTTCTGGTGTCCACATGAGCTGAATGAAAATAAAGTCCCAGGTGCTCTCTGATCTGGTCATGTTATATGCATAAAAATTTTGAAAACGCTGTCATGTCTGTGATCAAATATGTGTTAGATTTCTACTGGTAGAACTATGAAAATGTCACTTTATTAAAAAAAAAAACAAAAACAAACAAAACCCAAACTTAACACCTAACCCCCCAACAAACAAAAAATCTAAACCCATTTAATTTTCAAATTTACAAATTAATATTTTTAGGTGGCCAAAATAATTTATTTCCATTTCACTCTCTATTAAACTAGCAGGAAAAACAAAAATGAAAAAAAAAGGAAAAATAAAGAGGTTTTAGAGGCCATACTAATTTATTTCTCTAATTTCAAATTCTCACACATTCAATAACCAAATTTAAAGGATTATGGTATATTAGCCTAGAAATATTGCTTAAAGTTGTATTTTATTGTGAAATCTTATCTGAATGAATGGAGGAATGACGTTGCCTGCAAATATCAAATTTTAAACACATTTTTTAATACCTCTTTCTATAACTTGTGGGAAGTTTTCATTCCCATTAAACTTTGCCTGAATACAAGCATTCTCTTGTTTGTACACTAAGAATGGACAAAAGCACATTACTCACATCTGCATGTCTGTATATCAAGTTATATATTTACTATTCCATTTGTCACTAGAGTTTGCTGTCTTGTCATGAAAAAGCCCATTTTGACACAGAACATCTAATCCTAAACAAAATGGAAAAACTTGACTGCTTCCTATATATATTTGCAGAACTGTACAAAACTAGGTTCCCAGAAGGCTGGTGCCTTTTTCTCTTATGCAAGGCAAGCGATTACTCACAACCCTGTCAAAGGCAGCAGGCAGGACCCAGTAGCCTGTTTTCTCATGGTGGGTCTCATCTCCAGGGATGCTCAACACCCCTGGGCACACAGTGAGACCCTCACCTGCTCTGATTAGAAGCAGAAAGCAAAAGACCCTATTTGTCAACATGTTCATCAGCAGCTTTTTAGCTGTTGGCTTCAGAGGTCATTAAATAAGACTTTGTGGTGCCATTAGAGACTTGTTCTGTACATTGCAGAATAAGGTCCTGCAGTGACTAAGCTGAAGGAGGAGGTAAGCTGCTGACAAGTGCTTTTATGTGGAAGCTGAACATGTCAGGGAGAGGGTCTGTTTTTGTTGAATTCCTTTGCTCATTGGATAAAACCTGGGCTCCACAGAGTGCAGGTGTTCATTTATTACCACAGTAGTGTTGTTGCATGCCTGAGCAGCAGAGCTGCCTGTAACCACCTATTCAGAGTTTTTGCCTGGCTTCAACTAGCTAGTATTTTTTGAATTTATCCTAGAGTATCCAGATGCCCCACCAAAGCCTGGCCAAAGGGTTAAAAATCTTATTGGTCTGAAAGACACCAAGCTAGTCAAAAAATTGTTTCCTTCTTCTGGAAACATCTTCAGAGACTGGTTGTCTTTTATGATTTGACATAAATTTCTCAACAAACAAATACACACATAAGTATATATATATATAAAATTTACATTCAATTTCCAAACAATTCCATAGGCATGGAAAGCCTCATTTGAGTGCAAAATTCCTTTTAATTTTCTACACAACATCTCAGGTTGCTAAAAATGAAAGGCTGTTTTTCTTATTTCCTACTCTGGTAACTCAATAACATTTCTTTAGTACAACTTACGTTGACAAAAACCAGCTAAGTAGAACGGCAGTTAAGACTTTGATCACACAGGAACTTTTTGGCGTTCTGGGAGTTTACTTATAGGAACTGGGGCTTTGTGAGATGCTAGCAAATTACTCTGTGCTTTACCCTATGACCTGAACACTTAGAGTATCTGCTTAGCATGCACATTGTATTATACCACATCTCTGTTACCTACACCGTAGAGGTCAGGTCAGACGTTTATGCACAGCATGGAACATGCAACTTAGTGTTGGACAGCATAGCCAGGATTTGTATTTCAGTATGTAAACTGCAGGCTCTGAATGCAGGTTAATCTTCATTACTCACTTCACATTTTCTTGCTATGTATCCATAAGCTGTGAAAAAACCATCTGTCAGTCAGGTCCTCTGTTCCCTTCTCCCAGCAAAGCATGGTTTTGAGACCCCTGAGTGGACTGTCACCATGCATCCCCATACAGAAATATCTGGCATTTTAGAAAAGGCACAAGAAAATGGCATTTTCAGAAGAGTCAGATCCCACTCTGAACATAACTCACAGTAGTCTATTCCTGAAGCAATTTTTGAGGTACTGAAATATATTTTAAAGACCTGAGCTCACTGACATCTGCTCCTAGTCTCTACAAGAACTGTGTCGTGCTCATGTTGCATTCTTCTTGTCAAGTACGCCTGTAAAATCCAAAAGTGTTAGAAACATTCCAGTGAACTCAAGACCAGTGGAAAATTAAGCTAACATGTCTATGTTCATGCTATTGATGATGGGTTAGTCTTTGAAAACTCTCCTGAGCCTATCTGGCTCCCAGGAGACTTTCAGAAGAGCCCATGGGGTCAGGACATGTATTCCTTGACACAAAGGAAAATAAAATCCTGCCAGGACAAAGGGAGACAAATGACTTCTACATTCCCTGACATCAGCCAGCTACTGGAGTTCATGCTGACATCTCTCAATCCCTCCCAAAATGAAGTGACAGTATTTCAAAAACTTATTCACCCATAGAGCACCACATTCTTTCTTACAGACAGCTCCAGAGTTTCATTCAGCTCTTGATTTCAGCTGACAGCCACTGCTGTCCTTCTGCCAGTGTGCCTACAGGCTTGGGTACAATGGGCAGCAGGAAAACAAAAGGGAGGGAAAGGGAGAAAAATAAAATTAAAACGTAATTTCTTTTTTTCCAAAAATTAAAAATTGAATTCTTTAACCTTTAAACATGCTCATTTACTTACAGAAAGAGTACTTCAGGCACAAAAGGTTGGAGTATCAGTCACATACCACTTTAAATTGAAATAGTATCAGAATTGTCCCATGCAGTCAGCTATATTATCCCCTATCAAGTTGCAGTCCCTGTACACATACATATATATATAGTATGCATCTTTCACACAATGGTCTCCTGGTCTGAGTTGACTCCAGTGGGGTTTATGTAACAACAGTAGCTGTCATAAGGGCTGTTATCCTTGTAAGAGCAGACAATGATACTATCTTTAGGAGCCACAAAAATGTTGTCTTCAATGTCAGGGCAAGGAGTGCTGTCCCTGCTGGGAGAAGAGCTCTTCTTCTCCAAGGCACTGTATGTGGGGCCATCTCCCACGAACACATTCTCTGGCATCTCTGGGTAACAGCTCTCCAGGTATTTCAGCATCTCCTCCTGCTCCACTTTTTTGGTGAGGCTCTTGCACTCTTCCGTGGCATCGCCGGTGCTGCTGGTGGTGCAGATGAACACGGTGTCTTCTCCCCTCAGCCCTCTCCTGTCCTTGCGGTAAGCTTTCCTGGCCAGCTCGTCGCAACTTCCCTTGCCGGACTCTAGGTCCGAGGGGGTCCTTAACAGCTCCATGACATCCCGGTCCCTGACTTCCTTACAGCACGGACGCATGTTCTCGGGACATTTGGTGCAGCCGTCGGTCTTTCTGGTCAGGGCAATGGCGGCGATGCCCGGCAAGCAGATGGCCGGCCCGATGGCCAGCAGCGGGATGTCTCCCAGGGTCTCTCCCTTGATGCCAGACACGGTGAACATGAAGCCGAATACCAGAAAGACGCTGACCAGAGCCACCACCAGCCCCGTCCGGGGGTTGATGTCGTCGGGTCTCAGGGTCCGCGCCATCCAGCGGGTGCGCACGGGGATACTTCCCTCCACCGGAGCTCCCTTCGGGGCAGGAGACGGACGCCCCCCGGCAAGCTTCCGAAGTTTCCCAGGCAGCGAGGCACGGAGCACCCCGACAGCCGGCACCGCTCGGCTTCCCCTCGGTGGAGCCGCAGACGGAGGGCGGGCCGGGGCCGGGAGCTGTCCTGCCTCCTGCCTCCTCCCTAGCTCCCTCCCTCCCTCGCTCGCTCCCTCGCTCCCCGGAGCCGGTCGGAGCGGCTCTGCCGCCTGCAGTCCCGCCGCTCCCTCCCGCGCTGGCGGCGGGCGCAGGGGGCTCGGACCCTGCCAAAGGCCAGAGGTAGATTGACCGGGCGGCTTCCAGCAGCAGCGGCCGGGGAGACAGCTGCCGCGAGGGTTCACCTGCCCGCTCTCCGTTTCCTCTTCCTCGTCCTCACCCGGCCCCACCGGAGCCCCGCACAGCCGTGAGTACGAGCAGCGCACGGCGCGGGATGCTGCGGGGCCGGCGCGGGGACTCGGCGGGGTTGCCCCTACCTGATGGCCACTGCTGCTTGGCCGACTGCTGCCACCACCGCGGGCAGCCTTTCCCTCTCGGGCGAGGGGGAGCGGAGCCCCGACGGGCGGCCTTCCTCGGGAAGCCGGCATGTGCATCCTCCGCACGGGCTCCCGCGCTTAAAGTCTCTTCTTCGGTGAGGACGGGGCTTGCGAAGTAAATCCTCTCCCGGGCAGACAGCAGTCCTGCCCCGAGTCTTCTCCCGAGTTAGGCGCCAGTGGAGAGCAAGGCTTCAGGAGATGCTGTGCGGCAGCTGGATTTCATCCTGGAGGTGGCCCTTAGGGATAAAGCCTCTCCTGATGTTATTCCCTCCTCAAGAATGAACACAGATGTTGGGGTTCCCTTGGTATCCATGGCCTGCCGACTGTGATGGTGACGTTCTGTCCCTGTGATTTGATGCACTTCGGTGATGGTAATCTGAAGTAAGCACCACCAGCTGAATGAGTACAGGAAAGGATCTCAAATAGGTGGGAACGTGGAAAGGCAGCAGCATCTTCAGGCAGGTTGCCAGTGATACAAAAGACCAAATGCTTTCACCTGGGGCAGAGATACTGGGAGATAAAAAGGAGTTATACCAGAAATCTTCCAAGAAAATTAAGGTAACAGAAAAGGACACTCTGAACTAAAATTATGAAACCATATTTTTTTAAGTTTATTTAAGTTTTCCCATTAACATGATTAATTTTCTTCATACTACAAACTTGGAAAGCTCAGAGAAGCCGATTCTGAAAACACACAAATGTTTCCCAGGTCATGAAAAGCATGGGTTTTATTTTTATTGTTTTGTCCCTACAGTACAATATCAACAGAGCATCTCTGTATTGTAGATTTCCAACTTGCCTTGTAGAGAGCAAATCCAAGAATATAATTTTGTAAGTGGGAACAACTCCTGCCTTACAGGACACTTCATAAACGGGGTGTCAAGCTATAGTATTTACTGTTTCATTTGAAGGGTGAATAAATGGGAGTAGAAGTACACACTGGGGAGAGTTTCTAAGTCAGTGGCAATGGCATGTGTTTGAGACATTAAAAGTTTGAAATGAACCACGATCATTGTTTCAACTTGTCCTCCAGAAAACTGTCCAGTAAAATTCACACTGAACCTCTCACCTGTTGCAGACTGGGCTGAAACAGGAATGTTTTGGACTCTGTTAGAAATACCTTTCTTGACTGAAAGATTTAAAAACTAAAATCTTGCAGCCAGCACAAGGTAACTCTACTTTTGCCACTGTCCAGGATTTAGTGGTATGAGAAGTGAGGCAGTAGTGTTCTCAGCTCCTATTTTTCAGAGTGAAAATTTGCTGTTTCTTTCCATCTGCTGTTATTCAGATGCACAGTTTTTATGTCCTCCTGTTGGAATGAATAATGACTTTTTTTAACCATCAGCTAGATTCTGGATTAAAGGAAGTGATTAACCTTCAGCAAGCCTGTCCCACATAACTAGAATATTCTAAAGTGTAAGTTACAAAGTTATGAGTATGTTGGTAACTAGTGCCATGAAAGTCACTGTTCCTGCTCCCTGACTTCCTTCACCTTCCATAGTGCATTTGAATAGTCTTTCAAAAAATTGGAAATTGTTCTTTTGTTGAAAAACAAATTATGATGCCTGGGGAAAGCAATTACCTAAAGCCGCATTCATCAACAGTCCTTCAGAGATAGAAAAAGGACACAGAAATGTAAATATTAGTGGCATTAGTGGAGGGGAAAATTGCTGTAAGAGCTGAAGTACATGTCAGAATATCTAACAGGACTAAAAAAGGCCCTTCAAATTTAAGCGACAGGCTTACTGAGATGGAAGAGGGAACATCTACTGTGGAACAGAAAGCTGTTAGTGCACAGAAAAACACAGAAAATGTCAGGACAAAGGTGGAACTAAATGTCTTCAATTTGTACCTTTGTGAGTGATTTCAAGACAAGATTGTATGCTTCCAGCAGGAGGGGATAGAAAGGGAAAACAATCATCCAGTTCCAGGAAAGCATGCCACAATTGTTAAAATTGTCTTTCCAAGCTAGAAATCAAGAGTTCAGCAAGTGCCACTTAACACAACTAAGCAACAATGCAAATAGTTGAATTTTCTGTCCTGTTCATAACCAAAGGGGGAAAAAAACACTCCTTTGAGGTGAAGTATGTTTCTGTTCTGGAGCTGTACACAAAAATTAGGTACTCAACCACTTTTTTACCTCAGTTCTCAATGGCAACCTCTCTTCTCCCCTCTTGAGTGGATGGGCAGCAGGATAGAGACGGAAGGAAAAAAGTGCTCTCTACTGTAATAGATCAGGTTTGTGATGACCTGAACATGTGTGTCTATGGGATCTGATGAGATGATGTGCTGCTTTTGTCTGGGATAGAGATTTTTAATTTTCTTCACAGTGTCTGATATGGGGCTCTGTTTTGGGTTTGTACTGAACACAGGGTTGATAATACAGAGATTTTTTGTTATTGCTGAGCAGGGCTTACACAGAGCCAAGGCCTTCTCTGCCGTTTGTACTTCCATGCTGGGGAGGAAGTTGGTGGTGCCTGAGAGGCTGGGAGGAGACACAGTTGGGACAGGGGACCCCAAGGGATCAACGGGATATTCCAGACCATGTGACATCATGCTCAGTACATAAAGGTGGGGGGAAGAAGGAGGAAATATGGGACATTCAGAGTGATGGTGTTTGTCTGCCCAGGTCTCTGTCAGGTGTGATGGGTCCCTGCTCTCCTGGAGATGGCTGAACAAGTGCCTGCCCTTGGGAAGCAGTGAATGAATTATTTGTTGTGATTTGTGTGCATGCATGGTCTTCAGTGTCTCTGTTGAACTGTCTATATCTCAACCTGTGACTTTTCTACCTTTTACCCTTCTGATTCTCTCTCCAATTCCAGTGGTGAGGGGGTGAGCCCTGCACTGGGGCTCGGCTGTTGGCTGGAGTTAAACCATGACAGATGCATCCCAGAGTCCCAAGGGAATTAGGTGACAAGCCACTCTCTCCATGGTACTTGAAAAGTCCTGGCAGTCAGGTGAAGTCCCAGGTGACTGAAAGAGTAGAAATATTGGATCCACCTTTAAAAAAGGTAGGAAAGAGAACTCTGAGAACTACAGACTCTCAGCCTCCCTGGATTGACCTTTCCTGTTAAAAGCTACCCAGTAGCTCTCTAAATTGTCTAAATAAGGATTTGGTTGGTGGGCTGTTCAGTGGATAAGGACTTCTTTGAAAAGTCCTACCCAGAGGATAGTGGTCAACAGCTCAATCTTCACATGAAGTTTGGTAATAGATGGTATCCCTTAGGGAATCTGCCCTGGGACAAGCATGGTTTAATGTATTCCTCAGTGATGGAAAACCATTGGCAGGTTTGTAGCCAACCTGCTCTGAGTGGTTTGAGTGGTGCTGCTGACACATGTGTAGGTTGGAGTGCCATCTAGAGGGACCTGGACAAGTTTGAGAAGAGAGTCCATGGGAATCTCATGAGGTTTAACAAGACCAAGAACAAGGTGCTGCACCTGGGTCAGGGCACTCCCAGTATCAACACAGGATGGGGATGGATTGAGAGCAGCCCTGCCCAGAAGGACTGGGGGCTGCTGATAGATGACATGACCCAGCCATGAGTGCTCCCAGCCCAGAGAGCCAAAAGTGTCCTGGGCTGCATCCAAAGCAGCGTGGGCAGCAGGGGAGGGAGGGGATTCTGCCCCTCTGCTCTGGTGAGACCCCACCTGGAACCCTGCATCCAGCTCTGGGGGCCCAGCACAGGAAGGACATGGATCTGTCAGAGTGAGTAAGGAGTAGGGCCACCAAGATGATTAGAAGTATGGAGAGTCTTTCCTACAATGAAAGGCTGAGAGAATTGTTGAACCTCATGAGATTCCTGCGGGCCCACTTCTCCATCTCACCCACATCCCTCTGGATGACATCCTGTCCTTCAGGAGTGTCAAACAACACACTTACCTTGGTGTCACTGCAAATTTGCAGAGGGTGCATGCAATGCCCTCGTCTATGTCATTAATGAGATATTAAATAACACTGATCCCAAAACCAGCCCCTGAAGGACATCCCTTGTCACTGATGGCCATCGGGACTCTGAGCTGTTGACCACTACCCTCTGGATGTGACGGTCCAACCAATTCCTTATTCATCTAAAAGTCCACTCATCAAACCCATTTCTTTCCAATGTAAAAAGCAAGATGCTGTGAGGGACTGTCAAAGGCTTTACAGAATATAAATTACATTCACAACCCTTCCCTTGCCCACTGATGTAGTTACTCCATTCTCTATTTCCACTCACTGGGGATTTCTCCTGACTGCCATGGCTTTGCAAATAGAGTGAAGAGTGATTTGTCAACTACATTAGCTAATTCTCTAAGGATTTTCTGGGATGCATCTCATAGTGGATCCTATAGACATATATGTTTTGGTTCCTCAGGTGATAAGAAAACTGATCTCCTAAGGAAAAAAAAAAAAAGCTCCCACCTTGCTGTCCATCCACATCCAGGTGTGGGAAGAGAGACTGACAATGAAAAAAAGTTG